TTCAGCTTGTCAGGAGCTGACAGATAGCATGGCTGTGTATAAAACAATGCAGCCTGCACTCTGTCAGCGATCACCGCTAATCGCGGGGGAAATGACCGGCGGTGGAGACCCGCTGCTGACACCCGCGGGACAGGTAGGGCTGGGGCGCGCGCCTCGTACGCGCCCCCTACCTGTTTTGTGCAAAAAACCACTTTTTAAAACACGTGGTTTTTGCGCAGCCGTGCCGCCCTGCAAACGTACTAATGCAGTGGCTGGGGCTGAAGTAGTTAAAACGTCCTCACATATTTGGGTAAGAACAATACCGATTTCAGCCCCCCAATCCACTATAGACATTACTCTCCTACATGTAAAAAATGATCGTTCTTTTGCCAGGGACAATTACTTAGAAACACAGAGAAAAAAAAAAAACAAAAAAAAAAAAAATATTATATATATATTCTATTATATATATATTATATATATACAGTGGGGGATCGAAAGTTTGGGCACCCCAGCTAAAATTTGTATTAATGTGCATAAAGAAGCCAAGGAAAGATGGAAAAAAAATTCTCCAAAAGGCATCTAAATTACAGATTAGACATTCTTATAATATGTCAACAAAAGTTAGATTTTATTTCCATCATTTTACACTTTCAAAATACAGAAAACAAAAAAATGGCGTCTGCAAAAGTTTGGGCACCTGCAGAATTTATAGTATGCACTGCCCCCTTTGCAAAGCTGAGACCTGCCAGTGTCATGGATTGTTCTCAATCATCGTCTGCGAAGACCAGGTTATGTCAATCTCAAAGGTTTTTAAAATGCCCAGACTCATCTGACCTTGCCCCAACAATCAGCACCATGGGTTCTTCTAAGCAGTTGTCTAGAAAACTGAAACTGAAAATAGTTGACGCTCACAAAGCTGGAGAAGGCTATAAGAAGATAGCAAAGCGTTTTCAGATGTCAATATCCTGTTCGGAATGTAATTAAGAAATGGCAGTCATCAGGAACAGTGGAAGTTAAAGCAAGATCTGGAAGACCAAGAAAAATATCAAGACAGAACAGCTCGCAGGATTGTGAGAAAAACAATTCAAAACCCACGTTTGATGCACGATCCCTCCAGAAAGATCTGGCAGACACTGGAGTTGTGGTACACTATTCCACTATACAGAGATACTTGTACAAACATGGTTCTTCATGGAAGAGAGTCATCAGAAGAAAACCTCTTCTACGTCCTCACCACAAAAATCATCGTTTGAACTTTGCAAATGAACATATAGACAAGCCTGATGCATTTTGGAAACAAGTTCTGTGGGACCGATGAGGTTAAATTGAACTTTTTGGCCGGAATGAGCAAAAGGTACGTTTGGAGAAGAAGGGGCACAGAATTTAATGAAAAGAACCTCTGTCCAACTGTTAAGCATGGGGTTGGGTCAATCATGCTTTGGGGGTTGTGTTGCAGCCAGTGGCACAGGGAAAACATCTTCATGAGTAGAAGGAAAAAATGGATTCAATAAAATTTCAGCAAATTGTGGATGGTAACTTGATGCCATCTGTGAAAAAGCTGAAGTTAAAGAGAGGATGGCTTCTGCAAATGGATGTAATATGTATCAAGTGACAGTTATCTACTGACATTGCACTTGCTGGGGGGAGAAGGGGGGAGGGGGCGTAGGGGCTAAAACGCAGGTGCTGGCAGGTGTCGGGGCTGATCCCGCTAGCGCTGCATTTTTGGGGATTACTATCAGTAAAAATCTGTTCACTGATCAATGACACTGGTGACAAGGCAATGAAGGGGTCAACTCGGGGGGGGCTATCAAGGGGTTAGACGGGATTACTGGTGTATTATCGGGCAATCTGGGAGGGGCGCTAACACTATCGGAAGTTGCCAGCGACACTGATACAGTGATCAGTAAAAATCGGTTCACTGATCAGTGACACTGGTGACAGGGCAGTGAAGGGGTTAACTGGGGAGGGGGGGAGATTAAGGGGGTTAAATGTGTCCTAGGTGTGTTCTAACTGTGGGTATGTGCTGTTTTACTCACTGTTAGTATGTCTTCTTCTGTGTCCAGGCAGAGAAGAATGACATCATATCCTGTCCTGTGTAAATGTCAACACAGGACAGGATAGGACAGGGACCGATCATCTGATTTTAGCCAGACATCACTGGCTGAAATCTAATGATTGATCCCTCCGGGATCAAATGGTGTCACCCGCGGGTCGGCGGGAGCGCGCGCGCGCCCCCTGCCCGTGAAAACGTCGGGAGCACGGAGCACGTTTTAAAACGTGCTTTTGTGCCCCAGTGCCGCCCTGTATATATACAGTGACAGGGCGGCAAGCGGTTAACGGACAATTGCGCGGTCATGCAATATGGTACATAAAGGAAATTTATGTCCTTTTTTTTAACACAAATAGAGCATTCTTTTGGTGGTATTTGATCACCTGTGCACTTTTTATTTTTGGTGCTATAACCAGAAAAATTTTGAAGAAAAAAAAATTTGTTTGAAAAAAACAATATTTTCTCATTTTGGTCATAAAAAATATCTACAAAAACAAAAATTTCGTCATAACTTTAGGCCAAAATGTATTCTGCTACATGTTTTTGGTTAAAAAATCCCAATAAGTGTATATTGATTGCTTTTTGTGAAAGTTATAGCGTCTACAAACTATGGTATAGATAATGGAATTTACATAGCTTTTACTTTCTGACTGCCCATCAGATTTCTTGAGGTGCTAAAATACCAGGATAGTACAAACACCCTCAAATGACCCCTTTTCGGAAATTAGACACCCTAAGCTATCTGCTAAGAGGCATATTGAGTCCATGGAAGATTTATTTTTTTTCCACAAGTTTCTGGAAAATGGCAAAACATCATTCACTCTTCTAACCACCTGAAGACCAAGCCTTTTTGTTCACATGAAAAAAATCAATATTTTTTGCTAGGAAATTAATTTAAACCCCCAAACATTATATATTTTTTTTAAAGCAGACACCCTAGTGAATAAAATGGTGGGTACTACAATTTTTTATGGCACATAGTACTCGCGCAGCGATTTTTCAAAAGCAATTAAAAAAAAAAAAAATACACTTTTTTTACTTTTAATGCACAAAAACACAATATATTGGCCAATTGTTTGGTAAAATATAAAAGATAACGGTATGCCGAGTAAATATATACCAAACATGACATGCTTGAAAACAGCGCATGCCCCGTGCAATGGTGACAAACTGCAAACATTTTTAATATCCATAGGCAGCGCTTTAAAAGCCACCATTTTAGATTTACAGAGGAGGTCTAGTGTTAGAATTACTGCCCTTGATCTGACGTTCACGGCAATACCTCACATGCATGGTGAAACCTCTGTTTACATAACGGCACAGGGTCAAGGCTTGTGCGCGCATGGGAGGGGCAATTTTTATTTTTTATTTATTTTTTTAGTTATTTTGATTTTTTTTTTATTATTTTTACATTGTACCTTTCATTTTTTCTTTTTTTTAGCACTTTTAATGCTGTAACAGGGAATGCAAATAACCCCTATAACTTCAATGGGCATTGTCATATTCTTTTTTGAGAAATCTGGGGTCTATCAGACTCTAGATATCTCCTCTGCCCTTACATTATCTAATCAAACCCAAATCAGTGTGATCAGATGCTTTCCCAATTTACAAATGGCGCTGTTTATATCCTGCGAAACTGAAGTGATGAAATGCTTGTAGCTTCCGAATTCTTAGACTATAGAGATGATTGGCACCATTCTGGTCTCCAATCAGCTCTATGGTCATCTGGCAGAAACACCGGCTGCATTCTCAGGTTCCCCTGATGGTACGGGACTGCCCGAGAAGGCCGTGGAAGGCAGCGGGGGAGGGGGGACATCATCTCCCACTGCTTGTAAAAAAAGCAATCTTGCAGCTAATTAGCCACTAGGATTGCTTTTACATGAAAGCCAATCACCGGCTGAAAAAACAATACCAGGGTGATGCCTTCAGCTGTAGGCATCATCCTGGTATAACCATTCAAATCCAGTGATGTACCAGTACATCGCTGGTCCTTGTTGGTTATATATGCTATGTTCTTTTTTTTTTGTATGCAGCCAGTGGACTGAATGAAAAAATGAGAAGAAATCTCTGCCAGAAAAAGTGTTTGGTATGCCCACCATTAGAATATACCGCACTGCATCCACCCACTTCTAATGGTGGGCACACATTTGGTCACACTTTGCCACAAGTGCCAGTTCCAAGATTGAATAAATGTCCAAATAGTGGCACGCTTGAATAAAAATTGTCCACGTATAAGTGGTACCCCATATGGAGAAATGATGACACCAAGTCCCAAACTATCTTACCACTGCTCCCCATGTAGTCTGGGCATCCGGGCGGGCTCCACGTGACTATCTTTTCCCTCGTAAATCCGAAACTTATAAGTATAGCCTGTTGTCCTCTCACAGGTCTTCTACATCTTGACCCCATATCTGGCACGGTTGCAGGGGAGAAAGTGTTTGAATGCAAGGCGGCCAGAAAAATTTATAAGGGACACCTCAACGCAGATGTTTTGCTGGGGAGTATAGACATCTGCAAATTTTAGGTTAAGGTGATTTGCGAGGGGCTGAATTTTGTGGAGGCGGTCAAATTCAGGGTTACCCCGAGGATGACAGAGTGTATTGTCGCTGAAATGCATAAAACACATTATACTCTCATATCTATGCCTGGCCATGGCAGCAGAGAACACGGTATATGATGAATCGGGTCTGCGGACCAATACAACCGCAATTCATTTCTTTTAGTAATGCTCATGTTAAGGGTTAGGTCCAAAAAAAAATGTAAATTTGAAAACCGTAATGAGTTTCCATGCGAATGGTCTGGCAAGGTTTGAATTTGGGTTGGCGGCAATAAATTGTTGTGCATATAAACTTCTTTGATCCACAATCAATGCATACAGATATTCCGTGAAAAACAGCTCCAAAAATCAAGGAGGTATGTGAAAGACGAGGATGTACTAGACCGCTGGTACTCAACAGTTCACCAAAAGGTAGAACGGCACTAGTACTGGCACTCTGCTGCATATGAGAGTCATCAAAATTTACCGGCAAGTGCTAACAGAGATCAGGCCTGATTCTGCAAATACTGCGGTTTTGTGTGCAATGTATAAAGTGACAGTGACCTACTGACACTGCACTTGCTGGGGGAGAAGGGGGGGTAAGCGTAGGGGCTAAACGCAGGTGTTGGCAGGTGCCAGGGCTTATCCCGCTAACGCTGCGTTTTTTGGGGACGCTATACTAATGTGAATGCTGGTATACTGCTGACCTGATCAAAGATATTGACCCGTTTAGACACTATACTAGCAATGGAGGTTTATTATACATGAGCGTGCTCCTGGCAATCAAGGGGTTAAATGTGATGACTGGTGTACTGAAGGGCAATCTGACACTATCTGGGAGGGGTGTGAAAACCACGGGAGCGTGAATCACGTATATATATATATATGTGATTTTGCGTACCCATGCCACCCTGTAGCAGTATTTCTGCTGTAGGGTGGTCAGGAAGCGGTTACAGAAGAGGTTTGTGTTACAGCGCTGCGTTACTTTAACTGACAATTGCGCGGTCATGCAACACTGCACCCAAATTAAATTTACATCCTTTTTTTCCCACAAATTGAGCTTTCTTTAGGTGGTATTTGACCACCTGTGCGTCTTTAATTTTTTTGCGCTATTAAAAAAAAGGCTGACAATTTTGAGAAAAAAAACAATATTTTGGACTTTTTCCAATAAAACATGTCCAGTAAAAAAAATTAAAAAATCAAATTTTGTCACAAATTTCATCCAAAATGCATTCTGCGACATGTCTCTGCTAAAAAAAAATCCCAATACGTGTAAATTAATTGGTTTACATGAAAGTTATAGCTTTTACAAATGGCGGGAAAGATACTGGGATTTTAAATTTTTTTTATACTAATAATGGCGGCGATCAGTGACATATGGCGGCAATCAGCGACTTATGGCGGCGATCAGCGACTTATGGTGGCGATCAGCGACTTTATGTCAGGACTGCGGCAAACATTTTGACACTGGGGGGGAACTGACTTGGGGTCACTGACATCCCCAGTGACACCAATACAGTGATCAGTGAAAAAAAAAAAAAACCCACTGACACTGTACTAATGGCACTGGGGAGGAAGGGGTTAACATTTTTTAGGGTTAACTGTGTGAGGGGGGAGTGTTTTACTAGGGGGCGGGGGTGTGTGCTGACGGGGACAGGCTGATTGGGAGAGAGAAAATCTTCTCTCCCTCTTCAGCTTGTCAGGAGCTGACAGATAGCAGGGCTGTGTATAAACAATGCAGCCCTGCTCTCTGTCAGCGATCACCGCTAATCGCGGGGAAATGACCGGCGGTGGAGACCCGCTGCTGACACCCCGCGGGACAGGTAGGGCGCGGCGCGCGCCTCGTACGCGCCCCCTACCTGTTTTGCAAAACCACTTTTTAAAACGTGGTTTTGCGCAGCCGCCGTGCCGCCCTGCAAACGTACTAATGCAGTGGCTGGGGCTGAAGTAGTTAAAGTCTCACATATTTGGGTAAGGAACAATACCGATTCAGCCCCCCATCCACTATAGACATTACTCTCCTACATGTAAAAAATGATCGTTCTTTTGCCAGACAATTACTTAGAAACACAGAGAAAAAAAAAAAAAAAAAAAAAATATATATATATATATATATATATATATATATATATATATATATACAGTGGGGATCGAAAGTTTGGGCACCCCAGCTAAAATTTGTATTAATGTGCATAAAGAAGCCAAGGAAAGATGGAAAAATCTCCAAAAGGCATCAAATTACAGATTAGACATTCTTATAATATGTCAACAAAAGTTAGATTTTATTTCCATCATTTACACTTTCAAAATAACAGAAAACAAAAAAATGGCGTCTGCAAAAGTTTGGGCACCCTGCAGAATTTATAGTATGCACTGCCCCCTTTGCAAAGCTGAGACCTGCCAGTGTCATGGATTGTTCTCAATCATCGTCTGCGAAGACCAGGTTATGTCAATCTCAAAGGTTTTAAATGCCCAGACTCATCTGACCTTGCCCCAACAATCAGCACCATGGGTTCTTCTAAGCAGTTGTCTAGAAAACTGAAACTGAAAATAGTTGACGCTCACAAAGCTGGAGAAGGCTATAAGAAGATAGCAAAGCGTTTTCAGATGTCAATATCCTCTGTTCGGAATGTAATTAAGAAATGGCAGTCATCAGGAACAGTGGAAGTTAAAGCAAGATCTGGAAGACCAAGAAAAATATCAGACAGAACAGCTCGCAGGATTGTGAGAAAAAACAATTCAAAACCCACGTTTGACTGCACGATCCCTCCAGAAAGATCTGGCAGACACTGGAGTTGTGGTACACTATTCCACTATAAAGAGATACTTGTACAAACATGGTCTTCATGGAGAGTCATCAGAAGAAAACCTCTTCTACGTCCTCACCACAAAAAATCATCGTTTGAACTTTGCAAATGAACATATAGACAAGCCTGATGCATTTTGGAAACAAGTTCTGTGGACCGATGAGGTTAAAATTGAACTTTTTGGCCGGAATGAGCAAAGGTACGTTTGGAGAAGAAGGGGCACAGAATTTAATGAAAAGAACCTCTGTCCAACTGTTAAGCATGGGGTTGGGTCAATCATGCTTTGGGGTTGTGTTGCAGCCAGTGGCACAGGGAACATCTCACGAGTAGAAGGAAAAATGGATTCAATAAAATTTCAGCAAATTGTGGATGGTAACTTGATGCCATCTGTGAAAAAGCTGAAGTTAAAGAGAGGATGGCTTCTGCAAATGGATAATGATCCTAAACACACCTCAAAATCCACGGGGGATTACATCAAGAGGCCTTAGAACAGTGGTCTCCAAACTACAGCCCTTTGCTTGCCTTTATCTGGCCCTTGCAACACTATTCCTCCCATTGATAGCAACAAGGAGGCACCATTCCTTTCACTGATGCCAACAATGAGCCATTTCTCCCCAATGATGGAGCACTATTTCTCCCACTGCTATAAACAATTAGGCATTATTTTTCTCATTAAAGTGTTGATAAACCCACAAGAGTATATGCAGTAAAGCATGCTTGTTATACTCACTGTGGAACCAGAGGGGTTTATCCTCTGCATTGTGTAAAAATGGCCATTTGATCCTGTCTTCTCTGCCCCCCCCCTGTCTCAAGCAACCAAATGTACCTCTTATCTCCTGAAAAGACAAACTGAACCTTAGGTATTTTATTTTGAACATTCTCAGTTTGGTGTGTATTGCTAGAGAGGTCTTATTTTCTTGGGAGAGTACATGTGATCAGAACAGGGCCAACCAGCACTGGACAGAGATCAGGGGTTTTGCATCCTCCTAGAGCAGAAAGAAAACTCCTCCTACAAGCTTTAGCTAGTGCTTGTCTGCACACTGATAGAAGTAATAAGACTGCTCTAACTGCTGATGAGAAAAGGTATTTAGCAGTTTATATTTACTAAAAAAATAATTGCACTTCCATGTTCTGTGTATAGTGGGAGACCAGATATAGTGAATGCAGGGTCCTGGGTTTAGTAACACTTTAATACCAATGACGGGACACTGTTTCCTCTCACTAATATATATTGTGGGGTACTACTCCTCCAATCCATACCAATGATGGGGCACTATTCCTCCCACTGATATAAAGAATTAGGCATTATTCCTCCAACTAATACCAATGATGAGGCACTATAACTCATTCCACTAACTACAAGTGCCACAACTACAAGTATTTTTAATTCCACTGACACTTGAACATTTTCTAATCCCACTAGCCACTCCATCTGCCCCCCCCCCCCCAGTCTGAAGGACAGTAAACTGGCCCTTTGTTTAGAACATCTGGAGTCTCGTGGGCTGGAGAATTAAATGGGGGGGTTGTGTTGAATTTTTTTATGGCGTACAGTATTTGCACAGTGGTTTTTAAAAACGCTTTTTTTTTGTGGAAAAAAATACACTTTAATGAATTGCAATGCTCAAAACACAATATAATACTCAATTGTTTAGTAAAATATAAAAGATGAGGTCATGCTGAGTAAATAGATACCTAACATGACATGCTTTAACCACTTGCCTCCGCCCGGTAGCAGAAGTACTGCTGCAGGGCAGCACAGCTGTGCAAAATCATGTATATATACATGATTTAGAATTTTGGCTGCTGTACAGTATGTCAGGGAGAAAAATAAAAAAAAATATGAATAATCAAGAAAAATCTTTAACGCAATAAATACAAAAAAAAAACAAAAATAAAAAAAAAAAAAAAATAATTTAAATATTAAATAATAATCAATTCAAATATATGGCTGCTGTGGATGTCAAAAATAGAAACATTGACATGTAAACAACACAGGTCTCTCTCTCATGTCAGCACGGACATGCTGCTTTGTATCTCTCTGCACAAGCAGAGAGAGATACAAAGTAGCATGTCTCTTAAGTAAAACAGCACACAATGTAATTGTTAACCCCTTCCTGCCCAGTGTTATCAGTACAGTGTCAGTGCTTTTTATTAGCACTGATCACTGTATTAGTGTCACTGGGGATGTCAGTGGTAGTTAGTCAGTTCCCACCCCTTCCTGTCAGAATGCCCACCTCAGTTCCACTATAAGTCGCTGATCGCCACCATTACTAGTATAAAAAAAAATTAAGATAAAAATTATAGTATATATATATACCACCATTTGTAGATGCTATAACTTTCACGGAAAAGTTTATATACACTTATTGCCACCATTTTTAGTAACACTAGCAGAATATTTTGATTTTTTTTTCACCAGAAGTAAGCCCACTGCAGCAGGGCAGCACAGCTGTGTCATATCATGTTTTAACCGGGTAGCTATTGGCTTGGCGAGCTGTGGATGTTCAGCAGGAGATAGTATGCTTTAAAGACAACCAATTAACTATCACTGTATTAGTGTCACTTATTGGGATTATTTTTTTTAGCACTAAGACATTTATGCAGAATACATTTTGGCCTAAAAATGAAAAATTTTATTTTGTTTTTTCAAATTTTATTGGTTATGTTTTAT